TCTTAGCACCAACATAACTGGTTTGTTCCACTTTGGAGTAAGCTGTTTGGGGGAAGAATCAGTTTTGTGTTGTGCGTTTCCTTGACTGATGAAGCCTTCTGGATGGAAGGTGAAATGTTTCAGCAAAAAAAGAAACTGTCCAGATGACCTGACTGAAAATTGTTGAATATTCTAAACAATGTTTCTAAACTCTTAACGCTCTCGGCCACGCCCACTTCTCCACTGCAGAGCGGGGATATGACACGCTACAGGAGGAAGCTTCTCCTGCAGTGTGGGCTGCACACAGGTGCAGCAGGTGCTAAATAATTTAAAATAATTAATTTTAAATAAAAATTCCATGTCGATTGTGCAGCTCATCCATACATCAGCCAATTGTGTGTCATGTCCAGTTTTATTTTGAAAAACCGCGATTGAACAAGTCTGCGAAAAACAAACCGTGAAGTAACGAGGGACTATTGTTTTTTTCTGTCTTTTAGGATTGTTGTGTTTTGTTTCAGCTCGTGTGTTTTCTTGCCATTTCTCATTCACCCTCACTCAGCCTCCTCAGGTTTTCATCAGTCAACTTGCCACTGACACCTGTTCCCAGTTAGTAATCACCCAGTTGCTGCCACTTTCCACTCACCCCCGTCCTGTTTAAACTGTCTCATCACTATACAAGCAGCGCTTCATTGTTCCGTCTACATTGTTCTTTTGTGTTCCCCCGTTTTTATAATTTGTTGCTGTCGTGCCATCATTTTGTTTTTGTTTATTTAATAAATATATATATTTTAATTTTATCTAAGCTTGTCTGCCTGCATGTGTGCCCAACCAGCACCATGTTGTGGGGACGTTTTTCATCTGCAGGGACTGGTCAGAGTTAAAGACATGATAGATGAAGCAAAACACAGAGAAATGCTTAAAGGAAACCTTTTGGAGTCTTCCAGGGATTTGAGTTTGAGTCGGAGCTTAACCTTCGAGTAGTAGGACCTTGAACACACCGCTGAAGCAACGCTCCACTGATTTAAGGAAAACCAGTTAAGGGTCCTGGAATGGTCCAGGCAAAGCACAGAGCTCAGTCCAACAGAGAATCTCTAGTTTGAAGTAAAGATTGTTGGACACAACCAGCACTAACTTAAATGAGCTGGAGCGCTTTGGTCCTGAAGAATGGACAACAGTTGAGTGACGAGAAGCTCGTGGAGACAAACGTGAAGAAACTGACCGTGACTGCTGCAAAGAGTTGCACACTGCAGTTTGTTTCACAGTAAGGAAACACTTTGCCTCTTGAAAGTGGAAGTTATGTAAAATAAAAAACTCAAATGAAAAGTTGTAAAGAAACAAAACTGCCGAGGCAGGTGAAAACTTTTTTGCAACGCCCTTGTTTTTTGTTTCCTCATTCATTGAGTCGGCGATGATGCCTTTTAGCTTTAAAACTTCTCAACTCTTGTTTGTTTTATGCTGCTGGCTCTCACAGCTCAAACCAGATTAATTCAAATCCTCTTATTTGCTTACTGCTTTGAGGAGCTGCCAGTGTTTGATTCTAACAAGGTGGAGTGATTATTCCTTGTTTGCAGGCTCAGGTCTTAACCGTTCTTTTGGAAATGTCAAGCATAGAGTGGGTTTCTTGATGACTTTTAAGGGTCTTGATCTTGTTTGCTGTGCATTTGCCCCTGCATGTTAAATTTGCTGAGTCCAACTGGCTGAAAAAATGCTCACATTGACAAGCTTGTGAGCTTTCACAATCATTAACACGTGTGAACAATAGTTTCTGAATTTTAACTTGCATTTTTTACATCATCTCAGGTGTTCAGGCCCGTGCAGCGTCCTTGGATGAACCGGCAGCCCTTCCCAGCCATCGCTTCACCAGCGAGGATCATTCTGACGATGGTCCGTCTCCTGACGCCACCGTCCGTTCCCCCATCCGCTGTGTTTCTCCAGAGTTTGTCAACGCCATAGCCATGAACCCTGGGGGACGGCCCAAAGAGGTAGAAAACGAACGTCGAGTGATTGAACTGATTAATCAGAGCTTCGGTTTGTGTTCACGTCTCGTTTCCCTTTAGAGAAACATGCACAGCTACCGGGAGGCCTTCGAGGAAATGGAAGGAGGCCCCATCAGTCCAACACCCACAGCTGGTGGTGAGGCGTTTCCCCAAACCCCCGCCTTCCCCATCTCACCGCAAACCCCTTACTTCAATCTGTGTAAGTCCCCCCCCCACCTCAGCTGGCTGACGGCACTGTGGAGCTTATCATCTGATTAATAATTCATTATGTCCAAGAATGAATTTAAAAAAAAAAAAAAAAAAACTTTTTCTGTTAAGTTTGTATCTTCATGAAAAGTTGATCTTTTAAAAGCTTAGAGAAAGCTAGCAGGTTAATCCAGATGTTTACATCTGGATGAGATACAATCAAAATCTTTACATTTAGATTGTTTTACACATAAAAACATCTCGTTGATAGAAATGAGTTTAGAACTGGAACATGTGGAAGTTAAAATCGTACAAAATAGTTCCCTTTTAATATATTTATTTATTTATTTTGCATCCCATAATGGTCTGTTTATTCACTTCATCCGTCATAGATCACTGCTTAACAATAAAAATGTGACACTACTGCATATGAAAAAGAAAATTACAAACCTGAGAACTTGTTTATACAATAATTATTTAGTAAATCCCACAGACTAACGCCAGACACCGATTTTAATTTACTTATTTTACTTCCTGTTCCACACTAAGTCTTAAAGACCAAACCCATTATTTTTACAGTTAAAAGAAACTGGTGAAATATAATTCAAATATAACTGATGATGTTTACCAACTACCTGGGAACAGTTTTGCAATTTCCTGCGAAACTCGTGAAAGGTGCATGTTTGGGGAACTGATTAGTACGCATAAAGGCAGATTAATTTCTCTTCTTGAGTAGATCCTGAAGTTAGATTTCCATCTTCCCAACATAAACGTTCACCATTCACCAGTTAAAGGTGGGTTCTCTGTACAAAGAACTCGTTGCTGTTCTTCGGTAAGTTGGAGACGCACAACCATGGAGTTTCACTGTCCCGCAGCGTCAGCCGACCTGATCCCTGCCCTCCTTTACGTTGTTTTGCCATCACTTATCACTGCATTGCACTGCTTTGGTACGAGTGCCACAGAAGAGCTGCACTTTTATTTAAAAATATAAATATGTATAAAAAAAACTGCAGCTTATTTGAAAAGTTCCCAAACAGAACTTTAACATTCTGCAGCTGCTGCTCTGTGTTCCTGTTGCTGCCTTGTCTCCCTGCAACCAGCATCCTGCTTGTGTGATTATTGTGCTGCAGATTGTTTTTGTGCACTTATTTCTTGTGATTTATGCTCAACCTGCAAGGGCAGAATTATTAAGCTGGTTGTGAGTGAGACCTGAATGAGAACAACAAGTTTTAAATGAAAGAATCCCCATAAATGCCACGCTTTTTACAGGATCACCCGGTGAGGAATGAAGGTTATAACGATAAGTCTAGTTGTTAACTAATTTAAATTGCAAATAACTGAAAACGTGCACAACTTAAGTCTGTAAATTAGTGGCAAAGTATGCCAGATCATCCAAAATGATTTCAATTCTGACTGAAAACGTTATGGTCTGACCCTCTGAGAGCTTTAATCACTCACTTTTCAACCATCATAGGGATGCACTACATTGGATTTTTGGCTGATATATCGATATGTTAAAACTTATTTGGCCGATACTGATATTTTTTTATATGCTTTCCTTTGGCAGAACATAGCTCTCTTATTTAGACTTATTTGCTACAAAAATTGTGTAACAGCTGTAAGAGCTGGTGACACATATTCACTAACAGCCATATGCATAGCACTTTCACTTATATTAAATGAAAAGTGTTAAATGTTATTTATTAGCATTAGTCACCTGCGATGCGGTTTCACTTGTGAAGGCTTGTTCCAGGTTCCTATAGCTGTGAACCTCTGCACTCCTGTGCATGAAGGACAGACTTTTTAAGTTCAAAGTTTTATCTATCCATTGTGCCGTAAGACTAATCGTGCTAACGGGGCTAACACGACGTCCAAATGTCTGTGGTAAAACTCACCCAAGTGCTATCAGCTGTTAGCTTCTCAATGATGTCGGAAATGACGGCTTGTAACTCGGGTAAGGCTACGTCGGACAGATATCTGACTGGGGACGATGTAGTGAGGCTCAACATAGTCTGAAAATTTTTGGAATCCGACATCCTCAACAGAAAAAAAACTTCCACACTCCCGACATTTTTACTTCTTCCTCTCCTACGTGATCAGATCAGGTAGGCACACGTGACGTCATCACGTTGTGCTGCCGCTGCAGGCATCCTTGTCACTGGGTTGTCATACAAAAACAGCATCTTATATCGGTGAGTTATTTTGATGGAAAGGCCGACGTCCGATATTTAACTTTAACGCTAATATCATCCGATACCATGCCGATAATATCGTGCATCCCTATTAATGTAAATAAAACATAAGTGAACTTGTTCTTCTCTAAACATAAGATGACCTTGAATCACAGCTATTTCATACGAGTTGAAGTCGCAAATTATTTTTGAATATTTCTGTCAAAGTTTAAACCAAACTTTTGCTGCATCTTTAAAAGGTTCACTTACAGGAATTACAACTGAAGCTACACTGCAGATAAATCCTGCACAATTTTAGTCTGTTAATGCGAAAGCTACTTGTGTGTCTGATCACAGCTTCAGTTGCAGGAAGTGCTTGGAAGATTTGAGAAAGTCAAGTTTAAAGCCCACATGTGCAGACGGTTTTCGTTGCCCCTCATTGTGGAGCTGCACGTAAGCAGTTTGTACTTGCACCCTTTGAGGAAGAGCTATTGGCTGATTCAACCCTTGTGTTAATTAATTGTGTCTTAGCCCTTGTTGGGGCAGCTGTGGTTGAGTGGTTAGAGCAGTCATCCTCCAATGCAAGAGTTGGGGGTTTGATTCCACCAGCAGTCACATGCTGAAGTGTCCTTGGGCAAGACACTGAACCTCTCATTTCCTCCAATATGTGTCCCATCGGTGCTCTAAAGCACTGATTATTCTTTGTAAAGATCTAGTAGAGTGCTGTATGAATGGGTCAATGAGGGCATGGATTGTGGTGTAAAGAGCTTTGAGTATCTCGATAAGATAGAAAAGTGCTATACAAGTACAGCCCATTTACCATTTGTCTGTTTTTTTTATGCATAGAATAATTTTGCTGCACATTAATGCTTAAAAAATGATTAAAAAAATATTAAGAAAACGGTAAAGCAAGAGTCCTAAAAGATCATCTTAAAACAAGAATAAAAGGGAATAGATAAATCTCTGTGCTCAGCTTTGACACCAGCTCGTGCTCGACATGCACCTTGTTCTGCTGGTGGTAAAGTTTGGATCCCCTGCATGTTTCAAGTCTCCATCTGAGCATGATGCATGGGAATACCCCTCTAAACATGCTGCCCTGTATGTGTCCACACATGTAGACGTCTTGACAGCTGGTATTACCTGTTCCATTAAGAGGTTTAAAACCAACTAGACTGCGTTAAACAGAAGAACAGCTCATGTGATTGTTTTCATAAACTTTTTGTGTGTTTCTATAAGCTGAAAAATCACATTCTTATGAAATAGCAGCTGTCAAGACGGAGTCGATCATTGGGGACGAGTGGTCATAAGTGTCCAATTTCTTTTCAGGTCGGTCTCCACCAGGTCTTGCCAAGACTCCACTGTCAGCTCTGGGTCTGAAGCCACACAACCCAGCAGAAATCCTCCTCAATCAAACGGGCTCAGGTCAGTTGTGACGACTTGTGGATTGCTTTATTTAGAGGGCGATATGAAACTCAAGCAGGCTCAGAACTGTTGGTCAAGAAGTATTTTACAGTTAGAACTACTGTCCGGATACTTTTTTTTTAGTTAGAGGCAATATTAAACAATGTATCATATTAAACCTTTCTTTAAATACCTTATAAACCTTTCTTTCGGGTGGGTGTGGCTGAGTGGTTAGAGCAGTCATCCTCCAGTGCGAGAGTTGGGGGTTCGAATCCACCAGCAGTCACATGCCAAAGTGTCCCTGGGCAAGACACTGAACCCCTCATTGACTCCAATGCGTGTCCCATCAGTGTATGAATGTGATAAAGAACTGATTAATCTCTTTAGAATGATTTGTTCAATTAGCTTTGTAGGCTCTAGTAGAGTGCTGTATGAATGGATAAATGAGGCACAGATTGTAAAGTGCTTTGAGTGTCTTGATAAGATAGAAAGATGCTACGAGTACAGTCCATTTAAATACAAGATATCTCGCTGAGGGCTTATGGTAATAAATGGTGATAAATACTAGTAATACTTGTTTTTTTGCAATATTTGTGTCTCATATGATGCTGTACAGATGAGAGCAGTGAGGGTGAGGAAGGTAAGAAAGCTTGTTGTAATGCCAGAGATCTTTGCTGACATCAAAGTTTGTCACCATTTATTTGAAGGTCTTGGTGGTCCATTTGTACCAAAAGGCATTTCAGTTTTATTTCATCACGTAAAACATCTTCTCCATCCTTGCAAAAGCCACAACCACTCGTCAAATAATTTCCTTTATCGTTGGTTTGCATTAAACCACCTTCATTGACAAGGCTGGTCTCACATATCAAAAGTTGTTGAAATAGAATGAATTTGTGAGACTGATGCCGTTTTTCTTTACATACAGCTCCGAGAAGCTACGTAGAGTCTGTGGCTAGGTCTGCAGCAGCAGGCGGAGAGCTGTCCACATCACCTCGCAGTCTCAGCCCCCCAGGAGACATTAAGAGCCAGCCAAGGAGTCCGAGCCCTCCCAACCAAACACTAAACCCACCATTGTCCAGCAGTAGCCCCATCCAGAACTCACTGGGGTGAGACAAACACACAATGCATTCTTATTACATTCAATTGTATTTAAGGTTAAAATACAAGGAGTTTTGGACGTATTTAGGTTTTTTATTTTAATAAAAATGGTATTACTGTATCTTTTAAACGCTTCCTCTTTGCTGAAACATACTTTGATTCAGTACTAAAAGTAAACTCTCATGTTTTTATACACATTTCTCTCTACCCTTGATTGGTATTAGGTGGCACTGGGTAGGATAGAGCTAATGCCAAGAAATGGGTCTTGGCCAGTTGATTAATCATGGTCAGTAAACAACTTTTTTTGTTTATTTGTGCTTATTTTTAGTGATCCTCTCTTAGCTGAAAGCAGCACTTCATCCCGACCAACACCTGATTCTGGGTTCCACCCCCATCCTACTCAAACCCGATTAAATCAAGACCTGAATCCCTCCACTAACTCCTACCTGGACTCCAGCTTGCCAGCCTGTTCCCGCCTTGGCTCTACACCCCCCACACTGTCCTACCTTGGTCCCAGCAGCCTGTTGGGGAGCTATCCATCATCAGATCCCTGCCCACCTCTCTCAGAACCTTCCAAGGTCACTCTTGGGTATGAAAGTCCCCAGCCTCAGCCCATCATCCATAGCTTTGCCCATGATCCTGTCTTCCAGCATAACTTAATTGTTAAACAAGATGGGTCCAACCTGCCGGTTCAGAAGCCACCAGCTAATGGCTTTGAAGAGATCATGGCAGGTTTTGGAGGGAGTCCCACTCTTGGTCGTCGTCTGTCTCAAGGTACACAGAGCAGCCTGGTCCTCAGCAGACAGGCCTCTCTGGGACAGGGGTCTCAGCACAGTCTGGTCCTCAGCAGGCAGCCATCCTTGGGTCAGCCCATTCAGAGCAGCCCCGTGCTCAGCCGACAACCATCTATCACACATCCTCAAGGAAGTCCAGTGTTGGGCCATCATCCATCTCTTACACAGATGTCCCAGAGAAGCCCCAGTTTAGACCGCCACCCTGTGCATAGTGGTTACACCACACCAGATGAAAGACACGGGAACCTTTCAAGACAGAGCAGCTCGTCGGGCTACCAGGGACCACCCACTCCCTCTTTCCCCATCTCCACTGCTAGCTACCAGGATGGGGGGATGTTGGGGATGGGTGTAGGTTTTAGGCAAGGTAGTCCAGCTCCTGGTTTCCAGCCCCAACTCCCAGAGAAGAGGCGCATGTCCAGCGGTGATAGACCAAATGGAGGACTGTCCTACGGGACGCTAAATGGGAAGATAATGTCTCCGGTGAACGGAGGAAGTACTCCTGGCTACTTCCACACCCTCTCTGACTTCTCACGGTTCAATATACCTGGTAAGCACTTTTGTCTAGTGGAGAAATGTGCTTTTTGGCATCTGATCCAGGAGCTAAAACCGTTTCTTCTAAAGCTATTTAACGCGGTGTCAAAAAAGATCTGCCACAAGCGCAACATGACATAAAATGTGTATTAAGAACTTCTTAATCCAAAACTTAATTTGTCAACATCTGATTATTAGAGCTTTTAAGTATTTTTCTATGACATGCATAGTGTCTGTATTGTTTATCAATTTCAGAAGTTTTTCAGCAAGACTTGACAGTATTTATTTAAAAACTTTCTGCAGATGGAAGCCCAGAGAGTAGGCTGAATGTTAAATTTGTTCAGGACACATCCAAGTTCTGGTACAAACCTGACATCTCCAGGGAGCAAGGTAAGACTTGGCTCTTGAACGCACCCTTAAATAGTCTGTTGTAGATACATGGAGCTCTTTGATCGACCTCAGGAAATGGAGTTTACCATATATCTGACCGAATTATTGGCCAATAGCTAGCTTTTAGTTAACAAAAAGTTAAAGATTAAAGCCTAATTTTTGTACTACCAGAATAGGTTGGTTACTTTGATGGGCTTTAGTTTGAGTGTTTAAAGTCGTGTTGGCGAAATTATAATTTAAGACATTTTTAATTACAGCACAGCCTTTAATCGCACAAGTCTTTTTGTTTGTACTTCTTTTAAACTGACAGAATCAACTGTTGGAGATGTGCTTAACTCAAATATTGACTAAGTTAAAAATGTAAAAACATAATAGATAGTTTTAAAAACCTTGTCCTTAAATAATCTAAATAAAAACAAGGGTCAACTTTTGATTGCCTTGTTTTCTTGCAGCTTTTTGATCCCACATCAACTGGGAAGTTTAACAGACTAGGACCGTTTTTCATGCTCTTATTAAGAACTGCACACCGTTTACGATCTTGAGAGTACGTTTGTGCAGCTGACGTGAAGCAGTGAGTAGCATGAATCAAACGACCCTGAAACATCACCACTTTGTAAAAATACATGCAGAATGAAGAATCTGCACGCGGACTTCAAATAAGGTCAGGTGCCAGCTGTCTCGTGCGTTTTTTCACGACTCATGTCTTAAACAGATGCACAACTGCAATGACATCAGACGCACAGGCCGTTTATACTTGGAGCAGGGCAACCCTGAGCGTAAACCGCACCATATGTAGAGAATTACTGAATCTCTGCATCGCTCGTCTCATCCATCTTCTGTGCTCAAACTGCCACATATGAGGAGGCTGAAGTAAAATCCAAGTAATGAATCCTGAAACAATGGAGTGTCTGCAACAAAGTGTCATGTTAGATACTGAAATCTTAATGAAATGCAGATGGACTGTCGGTTTTTATGTTTAGTTTCACTTCCTAAACTCTGTTTTTTTTTCCTGATCTTACATCACGATGTACGTTTCTTAAAAAAGCTTCAGAACTTTTGTTCCTTAAACTTTGCCTTTAATTTAGTCTTCTTTTGGTTAATTGTGTGTGTTTGTTGTTCATTCATTCATCCAACCTTTATTTATACAAGTTAGTTTCATGGAGCCTCGAGGACTCATTTACAAGAGAGGCCTGTTTTAAACAAAGAACAGATGCAGTACAAATAATAGACAATCATATAAAAAAAGCATATAAAATGAAAAGTAAATAGAAGAAAATATCTAAAAATGAGACAAAACAGCTACATTATAAACCTTATTTTAAAGAACTTATAGTTCCATATTTTTGTAACATAGCACTTTGCTGTCAGACAGCAGGTTTACTTGAGGTCCCTAGAGTTTCTAAAAAACAAATGGGGGGTATAGATTTAAATTATCAAGTTTCTCTCTTATGGAGCCAACTTCCAACACCGTCTACTTTAAAGACTAGGCTTAAGATTTTAATTTCTGATCAATTCTATAGTGAGGGTTGGCTTGGGTTTCCTGAGTTATCCCTTAGTTATGCTGCTATAGGCCTCATTCAGTGACATCACTAAAACTTATTCTAGCATGATGGTCTTGTTTGATCTTGCGATTTTTCAGTGATGTGGCACATTAGCGTGTTTTAAATCTAATCATCTTTTAGAAGCAGCATCCATTCAGAAGTATCAAAGTCTTGATTAGTTTTTAAAAAATCTGAATATGAAAAAAATATATATAGGTTTTTTTTCGAACTATTGCATTTTCTAAAAATATTAATTCTAAATTTCTACAAGTTTCTCAAATGAAAACAAGTAGATTGTTTTTCATGTATGTGTCCACACTTGGCTCATATTATACTCACTAGCGTTGCCATCCTTAGGAAATAATGAACACAGATAATTCTTTGTTGTAAGTCTTCTTCCATACTGTTTGTAATGTTATCAAGAAAAAAATTATACGACTTGAACCTTTAAACACACTTGTACAGACCCATGTATATATATATATATATGTTTCTAAAAAAAACAAACATTTTAACCCATGTGTTGACCGTCTTAAAGTTTGGTTTATTGCAGTATTTACCATCATTAACACACTGAACAGGAAACGTTTCATCCGCCGTGCAGCCTGCATCACTTCAGACGCCCTTCCCCCTCATATGCAGTCATGCTCCTGTTTTTAGTATTTTACACCACTTGATAATGTAGCTGTGTTTGTCTCGTTTTTTGCCTTTTTTTGTTTTTATTTCATTTCCTCTATGTACTTTTAATTTTATATGCTTTTTATATGACTGTCTATTATGGTTTGCTCCTCTTCTGTTCTTTGTTTAATGCAGGTCTCTCTTGTAAATGAGTCCGCGTGGCTCAATGAGACTAACTAATAAATAAAGGTTGAATGAATGAATGAATATGGACCCTTACGCCCCTGTTTCTGGTTAAAGGTTCAGAAACATCAGAACCACTTTTACCAGACATCATAAGCTTTTTGTCCCGCAAGCAATCAGAATGACTCCGGGCCTCCACCTCTCATCAAAAAAACAGAACATGGCCACTTCCTAAAATAAAACACGAAAACTACTCTGTTTTATATTTCATTCTTCTTTGCAAAGAACAACCAATACCTGAAACAACCCAACAAAGTTCTGCCAGGTCATCTGGATGATTTATTTTTTTGTTGAGAGGTTTCGTCCTTCATCCAAAGGACTTCATTAGTCCAAGGAGCCACAAATAAACTGTCTCACAAGCAACACACTCCCATAGTGGACCAACCAGTTTGCTGGAGATACAATGGTTTCTTGGCCCCGCCCTCTCCCCCATCGACTCCTCTGAGGCAGCCATAGCCAAAGTGGTTCAAAACATCAAAGTTCATGTGCAATAATCCAGGTAGAAAATCCAGCAAAGTTCAATCATGTCATCTGGATGGTTTCTTTTGTTGGTGAGACATTTCATCCTTCATCCAAAGGACTTCATCAGTTTGATGTTTTGAACCACTTTGGCTCTGACTGCCTCAGAGGAGTTGACAGGAGAGCGGGTGGGCCCCAGAAACCATCTCATCACCATCAAACTAGTTGGCCCACTATGTGAATGTGCTGCTTGTGGGACTGAGTTTGTTTGTGGCTCAGACTGATGAAATCCTTTGGATGAAGGACAAAATGTCTCAACAAAAACATAAACCATGTAGATGACCTGACAGAACTTTGTTGAATTTTTTTCATCTGGATTATTGAACATGAACTTTGATACCTGAAACAACATTTACGTTCATGTTCTTGTAGCTGGATTATTCGTGCACTCACGTATAACTGTACCCTCCAACCTCACGAAGTAATCTTTAATCACAGTAGGTCTAAATCTTCTACACCAGTCCCCATTTCTGTCATCTTCTGTGTTTTTTGTACCGTTTTTAAATTTCTTAACTCATGCTGCACATTTCTTATTTTTTCTTGAACCAAGTCCTTGTTTTGTTTGAATTTCGCCAGTATTTGTCCTGAGAAACATTCTGTATCTGTATATGAGTGGGCTGACAATGAAACGATCTAGTTGCTTCAAAGCTTTGGGGAGCGCAAACATGAATTGACGTTCCAGCAGCAGCAGGACACCCAGTAACCACAATAAATGTGTTGCAGCTATCAACCTGCTGAAAGAGCGAGAGCCGGGAGCCTTCGTCATCAGGGATAGCCACTCGTTCAGAGGGGCGTACGGTCTGGCCATGAAGGTGGCCTCTCCGCCTCCAACTGTGCATCAGAGCAAAAAAGGTGCGTGAATGACATCAGGGCAGTTAGACACACTACAAAGATGGGTTTATAGATCTTTACTTTGTCTGTTTTGGGGCTTAGATGAGATGAAAATGGAGTTAATGTCTTAAAGGCAAATGTCTAGAAGTTGGTTTGACCCTTCGTGTGTCACAGGTGACATCACCAACGAGCTCGTGAGGCACTTCCTGATCGAGAGCAGCCCTAAAGGAGTGAAGCTCAAAGGTTGCCCCAACGAGCCTTATTTTGGTGAGTAAAAGCTCTGCTTCTGTTCAACACACCTGCAGCTTTGTGCTGTTATCAGTCGGACAACTAAACCTGCTGCAACGATTCAGCTTCTGTCCTCCAGAGCATTGAGCTCCAGCAACCTGCCCCTCGGTTGCAGCTACATTTATTAGAAGAGCGGTTCCTAAAGCTGAGGTTGTGTTCCCGTTGTGGGCCATGAAACACTAAGTGGTAGCTTGGGTCATTCATAAGACTCTCCTGCTTTTATTTTGTGAGTTGTAATCTGAAACGTTTAAGAGTCACTGTTCTGTACTTGCCGCCGTGTAAGTCGTATCAGTCCAAATGGGTCTAAAGTGGGGAAAAAACATAAATGCCTTGCTTTGCCATATAAGTCGCATCTATTATGCATCACTGCTGGCAAAGCGAAAATGCAGGCCGGTGTTGTGCCAAAAATCGATTGGCTGCCAAATGGTGGACACGGGAGCATGCACGGGACGACTTTAACAAGAATTTAACTAGATTAACACTTAAAAACAATTATTTGTTTGCTTGAAATTATAGTAAAGGTGTGTCTCAGTTGAACTTTTCCTTAAAAAATGCACTTTAACGGTCAAATTTGACATTTGCTCCAGGAGTTCCGGAGCGAGAAGAAGGTGGCCTGTATGGCAAGCTAAGTGTCTCATTAATAGCCACTTTTACCTATTAATGAGACACTTGATTCTATGTCATATAGGCTTCGCCCTTTAAGGCTGTCGCTGATAGGTTTATCCCGTTATGCGTAGCATAAGCACTGAAAAAATTTAGTCCACGCCCACCTGCTGTGTGGGCCCCACCCGGTCCGTATAAATTACGTTAAGAGCGGGAAATCGGCTCCCATTTTTGCCATATTGCTCGAGCACCCTCTAGTGGCTGAACATGGTAGTATTCAACATTTTCCATGTCGGGATGAATGAAATCGTCAGATCTCAGCCAAAAATTAGGTTATAAATATGAGCAAAAATCTAAATACGTCGCTTCACTGTATAAGTCACAGGCATGCTAATTTATGCAAAAAACTGACTTGTACGTGAAAATTATGGTACTAGAATAGCCGATAAATAAAGAATAGAAGAAGATGGCTGAATGCACCTTTGAATGCCAGTTTTAGAGAAGGATCTTGCACTCTTTGTTGGCACTCAAAATATGTGATGGGGATGATTCTCAGCTACTACAACACCAAGGTTTTGCTCAGTGTCTTTAAAATTGACCGACTTAAAGCCATTTTTCAGCTTAAATCACATTGGTGCAGAAAGTTAAACGCCTAGCATCCCTTGAAATGTTTATAACTAACTAAATGGAACCATTTAGATTTTTTTTTTTTTTTTTTTTTTTTTTTTTATAAACATGCTTTTATTTTATTCAATTCTGTGCATGTTATTTCCTGTTTGTCAGGTTGTCTGTCGGCTCTGGTCTACCAGCATGCCATCACACCTTTGGCTCTTCCCTGTATGCTCATCATCCCGACTGCAGGTATGAAGTATGTGCTTAAAAGGGAAATGGTCAGTGTGGAGGTTTTTTTATTTTATTTTGGGATTTCCTGCCTGTGACCAGCGTTGGCTTGTGATGTAATGTCTTCTGTAGATCTGATGGAGGAAACGCCCGTGGTGGCAACAACAAGCCCGCTGGTTGAAAGGTTGAAACAGGGAGCAGGTAAAACCCTCGTCAGAGTTTATTTTATTTCACGTTAGCTTCACCAACATCAAGTAGTTGGTCAATAAATAAAAATGACCTCGTTTACTTATCCTGACAATCCTTGTTATCACAGCGCAGAGCACCCCTGCTGATTCCCATGGTAAATCATCCTGACATGTGGAATGTGCATCATACATGTTTGTCTGTGTACAGAACACGTCTCTTAACATCTATATTCTTGTCTATTATAAACTGAATGTACGTGGAATGATTTGGATGGATTCCCCTCTTTGTTCCAGGAAGCATGTCCTCTAATCAGAACTAGTGTTTCTGCATGAACCGGGAGGGATTTCCTTCAATTTCATCCATTTGGGACCGTTTTTCTCTTCCCAGCATGCAATGTTCTCTACATCAACTCGGTGGAGATGGAATCGCTGACGGGGCCCCAGGCTGTTGCCAAAGCCATAACCGAGACGCTGGCCGCCGCTTCGCCACCCACCGCCACAGTCATCCACTTCAAGGTGTCGTCGCAGGGCATCACGCTCACCGACAACCAGAGGAAGTGCGTTAAACCTCAGCACAGACTGCATGGATGGAAGTATGGAATGTAATGAAGTAACTAATCTGTTCATGGGGTTGCGTCTCTTCTCAAGGCTTTTCTTCCGGCGCCACTATCCCAGCAACACTGTCACGTTCTGCGACACAGACCCTCAGGACAGAAAGTGAGTACACACACATTCAATAAATCGGATCTAAAAGAAAAACATCCCGTTAGTAGTTTTTTAAAAGATTTCAACTGTTTGAATTGGTCAAAGTTCATGCTCAGTAATCCAGGTAGAAAATCCAGCAAAGTTCAATTGGTTCTTCTAGACAATTTCTTGTTCGTTTGTTTTTTTTTTTTTAGATGTTTCGTCCTTCATCCAAAGGACTTCATCAGTCCGAGGAGCCACAACAAACTCAGTCCTACAAGCAGAAAACCCACATAGTGGACCAACCAGTTTGCTGGTGATGAGATGGTTTCTGGGACTGTTTGTTGTGGCTCGTTGGACTGATGAAGTCCTTTGGATAATGGTGAAATGTCTCAGCAACAAAAAAAAACATCCAGATAACCTGACTGAACTTTGTTGGATTTTCTGGATTATTGAGCATGAACTTTGATGTTTTGAACCACTTTGACTTCGGCTGCCTCAGAGGTGTTGATGGGGGAGAGGGCGGGCCCCAGGAACCCTCTTATCACCAGCAAACTGATTAGTCCAGTCCACTATTTGCATCCCAGCATCGATCGGTTTACAGTTTAAACCCTGGTTAACTCCACCCAGAAAGGTCCCTGGCTGGGATTCGATCCGGCAACCTTGTAACTGAGATGCGACAGTTTGTTTGTTTTTTAAGAGAGCTGTCGAAGTAGGACAGAGCAGAATATAATGCAAGAAAGCTAACGTCCCCTGATGAGAACGAGGCCAATCTTTAAGCTCTTTGTTCCAAGCAGCTGGTCGCAAAGACAAAGTTCGTTTCCATTTTTTAGTGGAATCAATGAAAATGACACGGTTTGACAGATATTAGTTTTATTTCCAACAAGACGATTTCCAAAGTGCTGTTGGCTGAAAACTTGACAAACACTTGACTAAACCTGAATTATCTTTCCGATCTTGGAGATCAATTTTCCTTTTTCCTCAAGACGTGACTTTCAGACGTGGTTCATCTACTGGAGATGTTGCTTTAGGCCTCGCTCTTCTTTTGATCTTCACTTTTAATTTTTAAGAACACTGTACAGAAATATGTCAAGTTTTCAGCCGACATCGCGTGAACGAGCGGCTAAAGTCTAAAGTGAAACTGTCTACGTTAAATTTATGGAAGTGTCTCGTGTAGTTTTACATGATAAATCGTGTTAGTATTTATAAGTTTTAATATTTTTCATCAAATCCTTTCAGATGGAGTAAAGCTGAGGGAGGCACAGCCAAGTGAGTAAACTCAGCTGCTTGTTTTCGTGTCTGCGGCTGATTGAAGCCTTTGTGTGTGTGAGTCTGTCCGTCTCGTCCTCCAGGCTCTTCGGCTTTGTGGCGCGGCGGCAGGGAAGCACAACGGACAACGTCAGCCACATCTTCGCCGAGCTGGACCCCGACCAGCCGGCCAGCGCCATCGTCAACTTCGTCTCAAAGATTATCGCCTCGCAGGCGCGTTGAGAGCCGACCGCCAAGAAGAAAGTAAAAGAAGAACGCTGGCGCTTCCTTTGGTGATTCTCACTCCTGTTTGCCACTGAAACTTTTTATTTTCACCTTTTTCCGTCACGTGTCTGTGTGTTTGGAAGCTGATGAGCTTGTGTGTGTGGGCTTTAATTTGGGACGGGCTTCAGAACGGACCAGAGGAAGTGCAGGATGGGGGCGTGGCTGTGTTCCATGATGGGGCAGGGGTGTAGTTTCATCCCTCTGGAAGGGAACCTAAAGAACAAGAAGAGGGAACGAGATTTGAGTGTTAAAATGTCACGTTTTTGCTTTTTGTGCGTTTTGTTCAAGTAGTCTGATAAAGGTTGGATTGTTTTTCTATCAGGCGTTCGACTGGTCAACCAAAGATTTTAAAGTATCTGGGCGGGGGGTGTACAGTGTGCCACTGTAGGAGGGCCAGAAGTATTCTTTTGTACAACAAATATCGCTGCTTAATAAGACAAATACTGTTAGAGATAGATTCCTTCTGGATGTACTGATACTGTAGATCAACTCTGCACCGTCAAGCAAAAAAGACGTTTTGACGCTGGTGATGTCTGTAAATATTCTAAATAGCTTTTTTTTTTTTTTTTTTTTTTTTTGTAGAACTACATAACGTTTGGTGTCAGACTTTTTTGCCTAAATGCCGACTGATTCAAGAAAAAAAACAAAAAAACATATGCAAGCTGTCTTAAATATGCAAATAGCCAAACTTTCATATAAGCTTAGGAGCGAAGCTAAAGAGGAGCAGCTCGCCGTTTCTGAACGCCACTCTTCAGCTGTGTCGCCGTGGGAACTTGTCGAGTCGTTGCATCCAATCAGAGAGAAAGGCTCGCTTCCTGTCTGTCTTCACTTCACTTCAAGGGTCTTTGCATCATCATCTAATCAAAAGTGTAACACTCACCCTGCCCAAATGTAAGCTAAACGTACATACAGTAGATATACAAAGAAATATATATATATATATATAAAAACATCCAGACGGTGATTTACATATTTATTTTTTGCTTTATCGCTCCATTTTATCTTGTATACATGTATTATAAAGTATACATCAAGCCTGAAGAAAGCTTTTATTTTGACAGAAGTGTTTTTGACATACAAAAGGTGTAAAGTGTGTGTGCATTTAAAAAGTGTGTCACTGTTGTTTTCTTAACGTTTCTTTAAATATTCGTGCTTTTTTTTAAGTCTACTTTTGAGAGGGGGAAATGTTTTATAAAGAAGAATGTTAACGGAGTCCAAATTAGATTTTTTTAAGTGGCATCAAACACGTGTTTTATAAAATAAAAAGGAAATGTCACGATTAGCACTTAAATGTTGAAAGTATTATCAGTGTGTTTTTTTTTTTTTTGTTAAAAGAGAGAATATTGTGTGTAAAAGCAGCATTACTGGTTTGTGTAATCGCTCACATCGCCTCAGATTTAGTTTATGGTCAAAAAATATTTTAGTTTTAAGGTTTCCAAATACCTGACTGAACACTTTGATCATAAAAACACTGGATTATTAAATATAAAACTGGTCGCCGTCACCTCGGGGCACTCGTTTCAGAATGATTTTCTCATCCTAACCCTGCGCCAGCTTCAATTTTTAATCCTGCGATGTTTTAAAATGATCTTAAATGCAAGTAAATAAGAGTTTGTGTGGATTTTAGGTCTGAAGCTGGAAAACAAAACGCTTCAAGTAGATGCTGGCCCCCTCCTGTGGTGCAGAAATGTCTCTACAAGGACACCCTTTTAATTCTAAGCAGTGTTTTAGCTGTGACTGATGGGAAACCATTGACTAAATGTGTTTTAGTTGCTTAAAACACAGTGCTTTTAATCCCATTTTTAAAAAAAATTGCTATGTCCGTTCCATTATTTTAATATTTAGTTGGCAGCGTGGTAAATATTTAAACGTTTGGGGCTGTCATTTGACCTAAAAACTAAAATACAGCACTTACAGGGTTCTTGTATCATCCCAAAATGTTTTATTTATTGTTATCTGCGGCTTGCATGTTCACTTCAACCTGCTAACCTTAATGCTGCTGACTAATGTGTAGCATCTTCAAGTCTTTTCTGTGACAAAACAAAGACAATAAGTTGCTTTTGTAGTGTTTATCAGAGTAAAAAGACTTCCAGCTGAGTGCTTGCCATCGCTGTGCCAAGATGGACCGTCTGTCTGTTCGGACACGTCTGTGTGGATGAATGAGCTCCTTACTGTATGCCTGTACAAAGCTTCGTTTGCTACATTGTATGTATTTTACTATTCCTCATGGGTAAAACACATTAAAAGCAGTACAAATCAAAAAGCCTGCTGGATGTTTGTTTCTATATTATGGTAAATGGACTGTACTTTTTGTTTTTCTGTCTGATCAAAATACTCAAAGTGCTTTACACCAATCTTTGTCCCCATTCATACAGCACTCTACTAGATCTATACAAAGATTAGAGCGTTCATTCATAAACCGCTGGGACTCATGGGAGGCAATGAGAGGTTCAGTGTCTGCTGGTGGCATCGAGGGTGGACTTGTGACAGGTGTTGGTGCTTCATCTATCCCACCCACATTTTGATGATGTCTGTACAGGGAGATGACTCGGTGATCTTCCGATCACAGGCCCACCTTGATGGGTAGTATTTGTAAAATAACACAAATTATTAAGGTGAGCACAGGTATTGGAATATGCCGGTTTTAAGTGGATTAAAATGAATCAAAAATAAAATCTTGTTGCAATTTCCATTTTTGAAATTGTGTCAAGCCTGGGACCCAAAGACGTCAATTTTTTTTTTCATTCAGTTTTTTCAGGCGTTCAGCCTCTTCAGATGTTTGTCCCTTCAGTCTTTAGTACAGCAGGTAAGACAGCTTTAAAGGGGATGGATGGATGGATGGATGAGAGATATATATTGAGATGGATGGATGAAAGATATTGGGATGGATGGATGGAGAGATATAGAGATCGGGATGGATGGATGGATGGATGGAGAGATATAGAGATCGAGATGGATGGATGGATAAAGATATAGACAGGTGGATAGCTATAGATAGAAATATATATCTAGACAGATAGCTATAGATAGACAAATGGATAGATCTAGACAGATAGCTATAGATAGACAAATAGATCTAGACAAATGGATAGCTATAGATAGACAGACAGATCGATCTAGACAGATGGTTATAGATAGGTCGATAGATAGATCCTGCCTATATCTATGTCTATCTATAGCCATAGATCTGTCTAGATCTGTCTATAGTTATCTTTCTAGATCTATCTATAGCTATCTGGCTAGATCTATATATGTCTTTCTACAGCTATCTGTCTTGATCTATATATCTCTGTCTAGATCTATCTGTCTTTAGCTATCTATGTGTCTAGATCTATCTGTCTAACTATAGCTATCTGTCTAGATCTATCTGTTTATAGCTATTTGTCTAGATCTATCTATAGCTATCCGTCTAGATATAGCTATCTGTCTATAGCTATATATCTGTCTAGATCTATATATATGTCTATCTACAGCTATCTGTCTAGAAGATCTATATATCTGTCTATCTATAGCTATCTGTCTTAATCTATCGTATTGAAAGATCTTGACACAGATAGCTTAAGACAGATCTAGACAGATAGATAGATAGATAGATAGATAGATAGATAGATAGATAGATAGATAGATAGATAGATAGATAGATTAGATTAGATATATTAGATAGATAGATAGATAGATACTTTATTAACAACACACAACAGCACAGAAGAGGGCACTGGTTATCACAGACTGGTAGAACATCAGCAGTAGTTTCCTGCATATACTGAAGGACCCAAGCCTCTTCGGGAAGTAGACCTGCTCTGTAGAGGGAGTTCGTGTTCACTGACCAGTCCAGCCGGTCGTCCAGTTGTATGCACAGGTATTTGTAAGTCCTGACCACCTCCACATTGACATCAGCTTAAATCTGGAGCCGTCCTCTGCTCAAAATGGCCCACGAGACCTCAGTTGCAACACTGAAGCCTTGTGGGCCATTTTTACCCTTGGGCAGCAGGATGGTTATGGTTCTGATGGATTTTTCCCTCATCTCTCAGATTCACAGTTGTTTTTTGCCCATGGACAGATCTCTGGTTTTCCTACTGGTTTCACCTCCACAGACCATTAAGCACAGACAAAACCCTAATCTGAAACTGAGCAGACATTCAGCTCTATAATCACTAAAATAAGACCCACAGGGGAAAACTAAAAACCTGATCCAGGACTTCCACTTGCCTCAGAATCTGATGCCACGTCATAAGAAAATGGCAACTTTTGCTGTTAATGCATCATTAAGTACCTCCTTCCATGTCTATAGCGTTCATTTAATCTTTAAGCGTATAAAGTTTTTTAAAGTGGCTAATTTAGACCCCAAATTCCCTCTTGTGATCACATTCAAAGCCCCCACCCACTTATTGAAACCATAAACCATGTTTCAAAAATATTTTCAATAAATACCACCAAAAAAAACTAACTTTACTGAGTTTCCCTTCCTGTGTAGAAATCTTGGAAACACTTTATTGCAGCTTAACAGAAAATCTGTTTAATTTAAAACATGTTTGCACAAATCCTTCAACTATTAGCACAGCAGAGAATAAACCGCCCCCAAAAACAACAAATTGTTAAAAATAAAGTTTTGTTTTTTTCCCTTTTCAAAAACATATTTCATGGTACTCAGTGTAAAATATTAAAACATAGTAAACTAGGACATAAAACCTTAAAGTGGGGGGAAAAAATCCAAAGATGAAAAACAGCAGGAACCCAGAGTCTTCTTTAAAGAACAGGTCTGGATGTAATTTGCCGTGACACATTTTGCAATTACATTGAACAAACTTGTTTTATCCAAATGCCAGGATGACACATCTTTGGCTCAGGTGAATTAAATAAAAAAAAAAAAAACATCTCTAAT